GGGCATCCGCTGCATAAAACATATGCTGGATAAGTTGGTGGTTCATTCCACTGTGACGACCCCAGATTAATAAAGGGACTAAGCTGAAAAGAAAAAAGCAGCAGGACTTAACCAGTTAAACTCTGGTACCGGGTCAGTGATGTCATCGACTTTCGCTTAAAGATTTAAAGGGCTAGCATTGCACCAGACCCCAGTAAGTGGTTTCGTTTGAAAGTGTAGAATCTATATTTTATGCACATATGCATCACTTTGGTTTTTATTCAACTGTACAAAAATTATTTACTCTTAAATATACAGTATTTTGGATACCCAAGCTAGGTATTTTACATTGGTTCATTTTCATATTTTTCATATGACACATGTACAAGTTATAGCTCAAATGAAAGCTCTTGTCGGTGCTCATGTGGTTCTAGCATTCTTTTTACTGAATTATATTCACATATCAAACAGTTGTCGAATGAATCACGGTGTTTCCATGGTGCAAAAGTGAAAACAATACATTTATGATCAATAAGCAGCCCCAGATAGCACAGACAGCCGTCATCTCTTACCTTATGCTGTGCGCTTCAGGGCCATTTCTCCTCTGTTTTTTAAGTGATGTGCATAAGTAATCCTTTTATGTGTCTGACGTGGTCCAAACACAGTGAATTATGTTTGATCAAACAAAAGTATAGTGAAATATGAAAACAATATAAGAGGTGGCTTGTACAGCACCTCTCATCAGCTGGAATAAAATAACTTTTGCATAGATTATGGTAGAGACATTTTTCTTTTTCCTTATGATTACAGACATGTGCAGGAACCACCAAAATTAATTACAGCAAACTAGACCACACCAAACCTAAAAGGTACACTTTCAAATTTTAGCTTATAAAAAAAAAAAAAACTTTTTTAAATTTTTTTTTTAGGTGTTTATTATAACACAGACAACATATACAGATATTTTTAACACTTTTAATAGTGTTTTATGAAAATTCAAAGGGTTTTCTTTAAAATGATACCAAATTTGTGCATTTACACCTCTGCATGTGGATTTGGGAAGCTTTTAAATTTGGGTAGGCAAAATCCAGGCGAAAATCCCAAAATAACAGCTTTTAACTGGCTAGTAAGAGCACTTCTGTTTTATTTTCATTTAGTTGAAGAGAGTTATTGGTGATCTAGGTCTTAATGTTGGTTAGGCAAGGTGTCTATTTGGGGTAAAAAAACTCACAGGAGGCTAATAATTATGATTTTACTATCACTTTATTCAACAGCATCTTTGATTTATACGAGAGCACAAAATTACTGACGTCCTCCACCTCGTCCCACTTCCGTCTCTTCAGACGTTCTGTCTCACTGACCTGTGTACGGCGAGCCTTATTTGGCTTAATATGATTTGTCTTGTGTACTAGTTTCACCTCGTCCCCCGTCCGCCGCTAATACCTCTTCAGAAAGCGCTAGAGTTTCAGACACCAGCGTTTGTCAAGCGGCTCCCAGTAAATGAAGCTCTCTGTGATTGAAGCCGGCGGTGAACCAATCATTCTGTTTATCGATGTCCGTCCACAGCGAGCTTGACAACTTCATCGCACCTTGACATGAGGAAAAAAAAAAAAGCGCAATCGCAGGCAGTGCGAGTTTGCTGTAATGCTTACCCTGCTGAAAATCATGCTGTTTGGACAATAATAACCTTCTTTTTTCCTATCGACTTGAGTTGAGGTTGTTATTTAAGGGGTAGTTCGCACAAAAGTAGAAAAAATTTTTCTACATTTGACCACAAAATAAGACATTCTAGGAAATTTTCTGAGAAAATCAATGGTTCGAGTCTATTTTCAATGTCCTAAAATGAAGATGTGAAACAAAATTATGCATTACTTGCTGTCTTTTATTGTAATTGTGAAGTTTACTATCTTTTATTCAGTAAACCTAATTTTTTTTGCATTATAATAATTGTAATTTATCATAATATTCATTCAAACACCTTCACAAATCTATGAGGACTTTTATTTTTCTTTCGGTTTATTCTAATGTGTCTATCTTGTGTTGATATCTAATACTGCGTTAAATGGTGTGTGCAGTTTTCCTGAATGATGTGGTGTTGGCTGTAGCTTTAAACATTATTTTCTTCACTTGATTTCAGTCACAGGTCAGTGCTAAAGCTGTGAAGTTAAGCGAGTATTTGATTTCATAACAGATCCAATATCTCCCTTCATTGATTTTATTGCGTAAGCGACAATTTCATCCCTCTGCAATGATAGCAGTGTCACGATTGAGCAAGACGTTCATGCATTTATAAACGCATTATAACACACACACACTCGCTCAGTAGTTGCTAATCAGGCTTTATGTTTGTATTGTTTGAACAGAATGTGATTTTTCTGTGTGTGTGTTTTTTTTTTCTCTCAGGTCTGGAGTCAGTGAAGTGTTCTCAATCTAGCACAAACTAGAGCTCGCCATTGAGAGAAAAGATCCCGGACGTTTATTCAGCGTTTGCTGCGTTTCGCACCATGAGCCAGCAGACACAGTAAGTGTGCTGAATACATCCTTTTATATGTGTGTGTGTGTGTGTGTGTGTGTTAATGAGTGTGATTTGTGCTGGTTTTGGTGGTATACAAGGACAACAATTTCTATTATGGCATGGCTGTGACCTAATTGTGCTCTGTTTGGGTTCATTAACACTAAATGCATCTAAAAATGCAAGATGAAATGCTCAGGAATAGTTAAAAAAAAAAAAAAAAAAAAAAAAAAAAGCATGACGGTATGCTAACACAGCCACTGAGCCCCTGTAAACAGACATGGTTGTCCCACCTCCGAGTTTTTCTGATTGGTCCACTGCTTTGGAACTGACAGTGATGAGCAACCCTGCATGTGAAAGTTGAAGATGTTTTAACTTGATGGCGTGGGTGTGACTGTCATGATCACCGGCGATCTAACCCCCAGAGATCGCTGGAAAACATTCACACACACACTTAGGACTACAAATCTGCTTGTAAATGGACTACATATTCAGTCATGCAGCACACACCTGCTCCAAATCTCATCTGATTAGACTTTAACAGCTGAAGCTGCTCTAGGACTGATTGAGGTACTGCTCATACACTGTTGCTGAGTCTTGTCGATTGTTTTAGTGATGCTACAAAGCGTTTCCTTTGTCTTGTTTACTGTGTTTTTTGATCCTTGCCTTGTTTATTTGTTTAATCCTGTTTGCTGCCTGCCTCTGACCATCTGCCTGCCTATTGACTACGATTCTGGATTGCCTGTATGCATCTGTTTCCCCTTGTGTTGACCATTGCTGGCCTGACCTCGCTAGTAAACCTGCATGTGGATCGGCATCTCTGTTGTCAGTGTCACATCCCTGGTTACAGTGACCTAGTTGTACTCTATCATGGTTAATCTTACCAAATGCGTCTTTGCTTCTAAAAACACGTAATGTAATACTCAATAGTTTGGGGGGGAAAAAATCAGTTGGGTATGTCGACACAGCCACTGAGCGCCTGTAAACAGAAACCTGCTACGATTGTCCTGCTTCTGAGTTTTTCTGATTGGTCCACTGCTTTGGAACTGACAGTGATGAGCAACCCTGCATGTGAAAGTTGAAGATGTTTAAACTTGATGGCGTGGGTGTGACTGTCATGATCACCGGCGATCTAACCACCAGAGATCGCTGGAAAACATTCACACACACAATTAGGACTACAAATCTTCTTGTAAATGGACTACATATTCAGTCATGCAGCACACACCTGCTCAGAGTCTCATCTGATTAGACTTTCACAGCTGAAGCTGCTCTAGGACTGATTGAAGTACTGCTCATACACTGTTGCTGAGTCTTGTCGATTGTTTTAGTGATGCTACAAAGCGTTTCCTTTGTCTTGTTTACTGTGTTTTTTGATCCTTGCCTTGTTTATTTGTTTAATCCTGTTTGCTGCCTGCCTCTGACCATCTGCCTGCCTATTGACTACGATTCTGGATTGCCTGTATGCATCTGTTTCCCCCTGTGTTGACCATTGCTGGCCTGACCTCGCTAGTAAACCTGCACGTGGATCCGCATCTCTGTTTTCAGTGTCACATCTCTGGTTACAGTTACCTAGTTGAACTCTATTATGGTTAATCTTACCAAATGCGTCTTTGCTTCTAAAAACACGTAATGTAATACTCAATAGTTTGGGGGGAAAAAATCAGTTGGGTATGTCGACACAGCCACTGAGCGCCTGTAAACAGAAACCTGCTACGATTGTCCTGCTTCTAATTTTTTCTGATCGGTCCACTGCTGTGGAACTGACAGCAATGAGCAGCCCTGTGTGTGAAAGTTAACACGCATCCGTCAAACGCATGTTTACGTTGAGATACAATAGAAAAGGATCACAATGAAAAAGGAAGAATGTGTTCTGTGTGAACGTCCCCTTAAGGTGATTTATAATGGCATATCTTATGTCCCCATACTAATTTAAATTTGCCACTTGTTTCCTGTTAGGTTTGAGTTTAGGGGTGAAAAAGGGTAAGGCCATATAATATACGTTTTCTAATTTACATTTGCCACGTTCGACAGTTGTGTTTAGGGTTAGAGGGAGGGTAAGGGCAAATATGAAACGTTTTTTTTCAGTACATTATGCTTATGTAGAGTCCTCATAAACCACATAATACCGACATGTTATCAAAAATATTGATATTTCGATACTTATTGATACTGGAATATTTAAAACAATACAATCTTGTCAATCGCATGTTTAGATTAAAACAATAGAAAACTATCACATTGGAAAGGAAAAAGTAGTTCTGTGTGAACGTCTCCTTTAGGTGGTTGTACACTGGCATGACTTGTGTCCTCGTAATTCAAAATGCTTAAATCACGTTTAAATTTGTGACTTGTTTCCTGTGAGGATTGGGTTTAGAGGTAGGGTTAGACCATATAACAGGGGTCGCCAACATGGTGCCCGTATGCACCAGGTAGCCCGCCAGGTTCACATGAGTTTCCCGCGGGCCTGTTCTAAAAATAGCTCACCATAGCACCATTACATACGAGTAAGCTGCATCTAATATTTTTATAGGTATTCTTTTTAAATCACACTTGCATTAGTGTAAGTTTGAAAATTACTTTAAGTTATATATTAAAAAAAAAAAAAATTTAAAACAATTTCAGTCAAACGAAGTGTTGCATATTGATATTTATCTAACTTGTTAAATCATTGTTGACAACTACTGTGAGAAATCATTAACATGATCAATGTCTTCACATAGATGAATATTATTAATAATAACATATAATTAAAAGTAAATTAAGAAAAATGTGTTATTTAATAACTGGTAGCCCTTCACTCTAATCGGTACTCAAGAAGTAGCTCTCAGTTTCCAAAAGATTGGTGACCCCTGACATATAATATGTTTGTTTTTTTTTTGTTTTTTTTTTTTTCAAGATTCATTTTTGGCCTTTTTGCCTTTATTAGATAAGACAGTTATTTTTTTTTCAGGCAGGAAGAGAAGTTGGAGAGAGAGAGGGGGGTATGGTAGGGAAATGTCCTCGAGCTGGGATTCGAACACGGGACGCCCTGACATGCTACTGGACCATGTCGACGCGCTAACCATTAGGCTATTGCGCTGACATATGTTTAATTTTTTTTAACTGTATAAAATACACTGAAGAAGCCTCGTAAATCGCCAATACCAACATGTTTTCAAAAATATTGATGTTACATAATGACACTGGAATACTAAATTATACAATCTTGTCAATCGCATGTTTACATTGAAAAACAATAGAAAAGCATCACATTGGAAAGGAAAAATGTGTTCTGTGTGAACGTCCCCTTAAGATGGTCTACGATGGCATGTCTTGTGTTCTTGTAATTCAAAAGGTTTAATCACTTTTAAATGTGCCACTTTTCCTGTGAGGGTTGGGTTTAGGGGTTGAGGTAGGGTAAGGGCATATAATACACGTTTTCTTTTTGCCTATGGAGAGTTCTCGTAGACCACCAATACCAACATGTTGTCAAAAATATTGATATTTCCATATACATTGATAGTGAAATATTTAAAACGGTACAATCTTGTGTCATAGTATTGAGCAAAATACAGCTGTTCAGCCTAGCGCCATGTGTGTGCATGGATTATATGTGAAATAGACATCAAACAGATGTTTAGCTTATAAATGGACATGTATTATCAAGCATTAACCAATAATATTGCAATAGATCTCCATCTAATTGTTTGTTAATAGTGGTTGATGATAAATGTTTATGAAAGCCAACATCGACTGAATGCCCTATAATTCTTTCCAAGCCTTTTATTAGATGGCCTAAAGTTCTTCTAATTTCTTAGACTGCCATTGGTCAGAAAATCAGATAGCTCCGCCCCCTAATTTAACACCGTCAGGATCTCTGTTGGTCAGGATGTGGGATGTGACTTAATCGGGACAGGGAAGAATTAAAAAAGGCATTACGTCACCTATAGACAGCCGTTAAGAAAGCTTTCTTGACAAGGTCATTCCAGCATATAAATGCTGTTAATTGATTCGTCATCTTCATCAGCGGGATGAGTTGAGATCCATGTGTTTGCTCCGCAGCTGAAGCTCTGTGATTTCGTCATTTGTAGCCACACACTGTTCTGCAGTCAGTCGCGCAGCGTGTCTTCGCACTCATGTGGAGCAGGAGATGCAATCTGCCCTTCACGCAACTGTTCCAGGATCAGCAGCAGTGACGTGCTGGCTTGGCTTTCATTTGGTGAAGTCTTCACGATGCCATGTTTACATTGCATTCTCAATGACAGGGATTGGCGATATCGACTTAAAACATAATAATAATATCCTTAATAAATAATATTGACCCTAAAATAGTTTTCAAAAAATTAAAAACCGCTTTTATTCTAGCTGAAATAAAACAAGACTTTCTCCAGAAGAAAAAATATTATAGGAAATACTGTGAAAAATTCCTTGCTCTGTTAAACGTCACAGCAGGGCTAATAATTTTGACTTTAACTGTTTGTTAATAGTATATACATGAAGTAACATTATTTAAATTAACATTAACGTCAAGAAAGAATAATAAATAACTTAAGTGTATTACTAATAGTTTAATCATGTTAGTAAATATATTGACTATAACGAATAGACCGTTATTTTGAAGCGTTACCGTAGCTAGTTCTCTGTGTGTGTGGCATTCAGACGGCAGTGCTTTGGGTGTTCATGTAGGGTGGGCAGTAGAGGGACGTGAATGCAGAGTGGTTTACTTCAGCTGCCGTCTTTGTTCATCAGCGCTGTGCTTGTGTACTGTGCATTCAGAGCAGGTCCGAGACACCAGAGTAAGCATGATACGTTCAACTCAATTACACGCCACAGGATGGATTACAAGTAAACCGCAAAACTCCCTATATTAAATCAAAACGCTTTCACCAAACCGCCATGTGGATATTATTTACATGTGCTGCTGCTACAAATACCAATGCTAAACAACACTGTGAAATGTTTCCGTTCTGTTTATGAATGACGTTCAATTTCTTGCTTTGAGGCATTTCATGTTGGATTTAAAGCTG